TCCCTCCGGTGAGCGAGGAAAAAAGAAAAAATTCCATTCGAAATCTGTTGCATCTTTGCGATAGCGTTCCAACTGGATTGCAGGTTCGATTGCAGGCGTCTGACCCCCACGGTGAACTGGAGTCTTTGGTCGAAAGTCAGTGACAATGGAGTCAATCAGTGTCTGCTGCAGCTGTAGCTGGGCGCTCCGGCGGCACCGCCCCCGCCTTAAGAGAGAATAGAAGAAGAGCGAGAGTCTGCAGATCTGAAGGTGTGAAGATGTAGATCTGCAGATGTGAGGGTGTGAAGATGTAGATCTGCAGGTGTGAGGGTGTGAAGATCTAGATCTGCACAAACTGGTTCCATTTGGTTCCAAATTGGTTCCTACCTGGTTCCTAGTTCACAGATCGGTTCCTACAAACTTAAAATGGTTTCCTAACTGTTCACCTGCACATGCATTGTTCCAAGATAGGTTTAAAGATGTTCAAGTAGGTTTAAGGTGGTTCAGTACACTGTACATCCTCTCACCAAACTTTCACACAAAAAGGTCTTCGCATGACGCAAGTGGATCAAAGTTGGGGATTGTTTGACCATCAATTTTTCAACGCAACTGGGGAGGACCACTTCTTGGAGTCCAAGGCCAATGTTTTACAGCTCCGAAAATGAGCTTCTGCAGTGACCTTTTTTGCCAAAAGGCGCAGCTTGGAAAAACAGCAGTACTTTTGCAAGTCCAGAAGGCACCACAGTGTCCCACTGCCACACCATCAATCATTGCTAAGGGACCCCAACAATAGTATCACTATGGGGGTACGCTCATGTGTCACCGCAAAACTGCCTGTTTTGAGGCCCTGGTTTCGGAACCTCATTCTGCTCAATCTTGCGCCCGCTTCTTGCTACTTTATTGCCTCCTTGGTTGGTGGACTTCGCTGCAACGCCTCAAGGTTGCTGCGCATGTGTTGGTCAAGCCGTGGTTTGCCGCGCCTCCTCCTTGCACCTTTCACTGCTTCGTCAGAAAAATGAAAAAATGCCCATAGAAGATATACATCTTGCGCTGGCTTCCAATCCAAGAGTTTTGCTTGGTTTCTGTGCGCCTTCTAGTGCAGTTTCGGTTGCAGGCGGTTGGTGGGTTGCTGCAGTAGGTTTTGTTGTTGTCTTGCAGCGATATCGCTCATGTGGCTCTTGGGCATGTCCTGGTGGGTTAGTTAGTGGCTGGACATGGTGTTGGGGTCGCATTTGGGGGTACCTTGCGGGTTGGATCTGAAGTCTCAAAGTCTGGTGATTGAAAGCTTCTCTGTCGGGAGTAGGGCGGTACTTAGTACCATTGGGGAAGGTTTTGGCGGCAGCAGGTTCAAAGTCCTTTATCGCCCTGGTTTCTAGGGTCACAAAGGAAACAACATGTGTGGAGAAATCTATTGCAGGTTCTGGTACGCGAGCTGAACCACTTCAAGCAGCAGCGCAAAGCGTTGCGACAGGCATCTCAACTCGCCGCCAGCGGTTGCTAAAGCGGTTGCTAAAAGCAGCCCAACAGCTGCCAAGCTAGGATGTGCGTTTTCCCACAGCGCGGAGCGTATAGTTGATGAACTTGGGACTACTATACCCTGAAAACTGTGGAAATTTGCGGAAAAACATGGCCAGCGTAAAGCGTATAGTTGGTTCAATTCGATAAAAAATATTACTTAAAAAATCTTTCTTAGAATGTAAGCTGACCGGCCAAAATGGATCTCACGCCACAGCGCAGAGCGTTTAGTAGGGTACTAAACCGTCTGGCCCGCAACACCAAAATTGTGTTCTCGCCACAGCGCGGTGGGTTTAGTTGTGCTCTTTGTTTGTACGATTATTCTACAAATTCCATTTGTTTGCGTGACGGGCGCAACACTTGAGAACCCCGTACGGCCATCTTAAAGGTTGAAGCGCGGCAGGCGCAGCGCTTGAGAACCCTGTACGGCCATCTTAAAAGTTGAAGCGCGGCAGGTGCAGCGCTTGAGAACTCCGTGCGGCCATCGTAAAGGTTGAAGTGCGGCAGGTGCAGCGCTTGAGAACACAGTACGGCCATCTTAAAGGTTGACGCGCGGCAGGCGCTGCGCTTGAGAACCCAGTATGGCCATCTTAAACATTGAAGCGTGGCAGGCGCAGCCCTTGAGAACCCCGTACGGCCATCTTTCCTTGCATGGCCCCCACAAGGGCCAACCACAAACTGAACCCCTGCGACCCCATTGTCAATGTTGAGGGTGTGTTGATGCTATTGCAACTAAGAAGTGAATTCCAATTTGAGGATGTGACCTGAGGCAAAATTTCTTTTTGATGGCTATCAGTTCAAAAGGTGAAACTGCAACATTTAAGCCTCCGTCCAACATTGAAGATGGGACGGGGATTTAAGCATACGTCAAATCCTCATCTTGGATTTGCAAGTGCTAGTCTGGAGTCTGGAAGCGCAAACATCGACGATTCCCCTTTGCAGGAATGCCGATGTCCGGATTCTCCACAGGAACTGTAAATCTGAACACCACAAGCCGCTTTTGAAGCATCTGTAAATCTCCGAGCGTCACACTGGCTTTCGGTGTGTGTGTGTGTAGATAGTCAAATCTTCCAGTGAAGAAAAAAGGGGAGCTACAGCAATCATAGCTGAGAGTCAAAGATCGCGTTTATCTTTCTTCGTGGAGGCTTCAGGTTGGGCTTGCCACTGTGATGGGCGCTGTCCTTCGGCTGCAAGAGCGCTGTTGATTTCCAACCACATTGATGAGAAAGAATTCACTACTGCAATTTTTTGAGCTTTGTTCCATGGACGGGGCAAGCAACGAAATATAGCTTTGTTGGTTTCCTCTGCAAGTGAGGGAAATCTTTCATCTGGGCCCCAATGAAGGAGATATACCCACAGGGCAGTGTGTGCTTGACACCATCGGCTTCCACCTTTCCACTGCTCCATGTGGAGGCGTCAAATAAAAGTATCCAGCCGCGCTTCAACCTTTCAGATGGCCGTACGGGGTTCTCAAGTGCTGCGCCCGTCACGCAAAAAATTGAATCTCTAAAATAATCGTGCAAACAAAGAGCCCAACACACAATTTTGGTGTTGCGGGCCAGACGGTTTGTACCCTACTAAACGCTCTGCGCTGTGGCGTGAGATCCATTTTGGCCGGTCAGCTTACATTCTAAGAAAGATTTTTTAAGTAATATTTTTTATCGAATTGAACCAACTATACGCTATACGCTGGCCATGTTTTTCCGCAAATTTCCACAGTTTTCAGGGTATAGTAGTCCAAGTTCATCAACTATACGCTCCGCGCTGTGGGAAAACGCACATCCTAGCTTGGCAGCTGTTGGGCTGCTTTTAGCAACTGCTTTAGCAACCGCTGGCGGCGCTTTGCTGCTGATTTCTGTTCTTTCTTGTTCTCCGCGATGGTCTCAAGAGGGCCAGCATCAGAAAACAGCGACGAACTGCATTTGCAAGCCAAAGCAACACAGTTGAGATGCCTGAACCATCTGCGAGTTCACAGCTAATTTCGCCTTGATGGCCCATGGTGAATCCAAAAGATGCCCAAAAACCGCGGTGATCCACTATTGGCACCAAAAGCGAACAGGACGCTCACCTTTAATATTAAATTTAATCAGCAAAATGATGTCCTGTACAATGATAAACTTCCAGTGTCTTTGTGCTGGGCTGGACCGGCGCAGAACCCCCATCGCAAGGCGATGGAAACCTCCCTTCCCTGCAGATAAATGGGAAATCAACAATGAAAAAAATAGTCTGACTGAGACATGTCCCCATTCATGAGGGTATCCCAAACTGCCGCCAGGGAAAGGAAAGTGATTTTTTTTTCAGTTGTTTAGGCTCCGGAATGGTCAGTGCCTCGCTTAGCCCTGAAGGTTGAAGTCCACATCTCAAAATGTCGTCCTAAGTGAGTGAAAAGTCGTCCTAAGTGAGCCTTTGACCCGGAATTGCTCCATAAGTATCAATGCTACTTGCGAGATGAGAAAGGCATGTTCGTTGCGGGAAAAACAGGAACCGACCCTGGAACCTTGGGGGGGGGTCGTGGTTTTTTTTGGGTCCATCTCAGAATTGTATGGTTTTCCCTCCTTAGACCTGCACCCCTTGGTTTTTAACCATTGTCCACCTTTATATTGACATACATGGCCAGCTGAGCTTTTGGGGTCGCACCCCAAACTTTAGCCAGGGTATTTTGGGGGTAGCGAGCGCCCCTTGGTTTCTGGCTGGGTTCTGGCTGAAAACATACGTGCAGACTCTGGGCTGAACACTGCGCGGGAATGAACTATGAACTTTTGCATGGTCTAGTTGCAGCATTGTCATATTCAGTCACCATAGTTTCAAATGCACTGACCCCACCACCAGAGTCCGGGGCTGTGTCATTATGGACCTCTGAGTTCATGCGAGAGTCGAGTCATCATTACCATTGTTTACAATGGTTACCATCAGAACCATGACGGCTGCCAATAATGACAACGAAAATGATAACGCATGATTCACAAGCACAATGACACCGATATTGACACGCAATTAGATTCTTGAAAACAATGGCAACCATAATCATCATCAAAAACAATGATTCACGAAACGTTTTTGCGACCTTTGCCAGATGCCTTTGGTATTTGTTTCGTTTTTTCCTGAAACCTACACAGTTCAAGTGGTCAGCATAGTTTTCATGGCTTTGACTACCAGGTCCAATTAAGGTAGAAAATGAATTTTGCGCCGCAGTTCAATGGCTAAATCACTCAGAACTTGAAATTGGGGGACATTCCACCATGGTGTGATTTTGCATGAACACTGGCAATCCAGGACGACATGATGAATGATTCGGACACCTTTTTTGAAACAACCGTCCTCTTGGATGACAACAGTTGGAATTTTCGTATCAACCTTGGGCATGCCAACATCAGTTTTACCCCCAGTTGGATGCTTTGATTAGGTGAAAAAAAGGTTCCGAAGTATGACTTAAAAAACATTCAAAAAAATGGATAAATTATGGAGATATGATAAATGTTGCACACTGCCTCAGTCTTAGATGGTCGTGTTCTCTCGTTTTTTTGGGACAACGGGTACAGTGTCCCAGTTTGACCCGACGCGACGCTAGCCATGGCGGCGACACAAGATCCGGGCGTCTTAGAAAAATTTGAGAAATGGTTCAGACCTCAGTAAATCACATATCTTTCATGGGAAATGATGGACAATGCCAATTTTTGAAGAGAACACTAATCTACAAAATGGAGGTGTTCATGGGATTTTTTTCCCCTATCAATGGAGATTTCAATGGGAAACGACATTATGAACAATGACACTTTCACAGACATTTCACAGGAAATTGGCTGATCTCCATCAATATCATACCATGAAACCTATTTTTTTTGATAATTTTGTCGGGCAGTCTGGGTGTTTTCACCCTTCCAATTTGAATTGTATTCCTAAAACTATTCAGGCACGGTGCCAAAATGGGTTTGTCTCCAAACGGGTTCCAAAACAAATTCAATGGAGTAGGTTATGTCTTTACCATGGGATTTGGGGACGTCACCTGAATCACCATTTCAATACGTCGTATACGTCTATTTTTGGAATGGGAAATCGTGTGTTTGTTGAGACTACTTTTAGATTTTTCCTCAGTTTTCAATACAAAAACAATTGTTCAATCGTTTTTTTTAAATCTAGACACGGTTGATTGTATCTCCATCTGATCATAATTTTTTCCTTAGGCATTCTAAGGTACAGTAAGTCTTCGAGATTTTGGGCAGTTGCCGCTGAACCAAGGGGCCTGCAGACAATCAAGCGCACTCCCAAGGGACAGGGGGTGGAGAATCAGGCAACAGCGACAGATGGATCGGTTTGTGCGTCAGATGTGTTTGGTTTATCCCCAATGAAAATGTGATGGAAAAAAACTGCAACACAGCAGATAAAAATTGGTAAAATCCCACTAGTGATGAATTAATTTTTTTCGGCATCCTTTTTGGAGGGTTACTGTAGAGGAAAGAAGACCAGCCATTGGCGATCAGAGTTTTATTGGATCTCCAGGTTTAGGTCTTCACGAGCCCCGCATTCAGGTACTGGGTTGTTCAAAACTGGGTCCCCTAAGATTGGCAGGATCCAGTGTTTTCTCAAATCATTTTCTGATAGTTTCTTTAATTTAAAGAACGTGAAGGAACATGTGTCTTTATTGTCAGCTAAAAAAAAAAACAAGGAAACTATCGGAAAGCCTTCAGAAAACAGAAAGGATAATTATATTAATATAGACCCGGCATTGACTATATTGCTATCTTCCACATATGGTTTACTTTTTGTGGAAGATAGAAGATAGTATAAAAAAGGGGGTTACTACGTGGTGGTTCATCCCCTTAGTTACGTAGGGTAAGTAGGGGCAATGTCTAGTTGTTTGGGTGAAATAACCCAGTTACGATTCTTGGGATGAACAAAGAAGTATATTCCACATTGGTATAATACTATTGGATCTATTCATTTTGGAGGCCCACTTGAGTGAATGTGATATTAGAGGGATTGAGTTAGAGGGATTGTGATATGAAAAAGGGATTAGATCAGCCATTATCGATACGCCATTGTATCACCATAAAAAGAGGGTTACTATATATATATATACACACATACAAGAGGGTTACTATATATATATATATAAATCAATACATAAAAAACTAAATTAAATAAATAATCAAATAAATAAATAGATAAATAAATAGATAAATAAATAAATAGATAAATAAATGATATATATATATATATTCCACATTTTGAGACCGCAAAGAAACCCTGATGCGCCCCATCCTCTCAGGTCCCAGTTGCCTCGCGAGACAAGGCACTTGCGCGCCTGCATCAGGCTGGGATGCAGGTCGATCAAGTAACCAGTAGTAACCAGTAGTAACCAGTAGTAACCAGTAGTAACCAGTTGGGTTTGTCTGAAAATCATGATCAGAATCCTAATGAAATCATAGGTATCGCATTCCATTGGGTCATTATATTTCCCTGATGAAAACAAGATCCATGAAGTTAACTTCGAGGCCAATCCCAATGGACCATCAAAATATTCCCATGGAACATTGGCGGCAAGAGCTTTGAGGATGTCACCGGAACTTGGGATTTTCACCAGGCTTTTTGGATTGGAAACTCAGGTGATTTGAGCACTTTTTGAGCCGAAGCCGTGGTGCAGCATAGCCTTTTTCAAAGATCTTCCGTGGATGGATGGAACTTGCTGCCACGGTGTGTTCGAGTCCTAGCGTAGATCTTTTTTGTGGGCACAGAAAAACCACATTGACATGATAGTTTGGAATGCCATTCAACTGTGTCTGAAAATGGGCTATTATATACTCCAAAAATGGGAGTTTTAGAGTGGAAATGATGACACTCCTATCACATCTCCCCTGTAAATATCTCCGAAACAAGTTCATGTTGACTTCGATGCCCCCCCGATCCCTTTGAATGTCAATCAATCCTCGATATAGCCTCTGGTAAACATACGTACAAAAAACGGATGGGAAAATCACCATGCTATCAATGGGTAAATCCATTATTTCTATGGGCCATTTTCCAGTTCGCAAACTGTAAACGTTTACCAGATGATTTTCCTATATTCTCCCAGGATAAACTAACATTACAGTATACATTTTTGTACGGAAAATCACCATTTTTCATGGGTAAATCAGTCCTATGTTAGTCATTACCACTGGGTAACGAGTTTTTTTGGGCCCCTGTCCAGGTGCAGGCTGATCATGAGCAAGGCCGCAGATCGCAGTGCACATACACATACACATCTAATCTACATCTACAAATACATAGACATGAACATATACATAATCATATACATATACATAATCATATACATATACATGAACATATACATATACACATACATGAACATAAACATGAACATGAATATGAATATAAAAATGAGCATGAACATATACATAATACATATACATATGTCGATATTTTCATAATTCTTTATACAGCATACATAGATGTGCCACATGATACGGGATTTAACCATGTACACGTCTCATAATTTTCTACGAATCCTTCGGAGCTTGTGCCAGGCGCAATTCTTTGAACTGGGCTGCCCCAACTGCCGTTCTCTCGAGATGCAGGTGGCGTCAATGTTCCGCAAGCCCAATAAGGAAGCAATGGGTAAATAATTGCTAGGAGTTGCTCATGTGGCAAACTCTACATTGCTTAATTTTCTTGCGAAAACGACTAATTATATATATATATACATATAATACATATAATACATATAACCTCTCAAAGGGTAAAATTATGTACGGTTTATCACATGCTTTACCAAATTAGACAAGATGTCATGCCAGTTCAAGATTGACCAGAATTGTATGCTGGAACCACTTGCATTAAGTTAGTTTTTTTCCTATCTATCTACTCAATTGGGGGAGTCTTTAAACGGGGAGGCCCCATTTTTAACCCCATTGTCCAATATTGGGCACTTTTATAGGAGGTCCCTCCAGTGATGCTTAATGGCCTATAAATCCCATTAGTATAGATATATCTACCATAAAGTATAGTTCCCAACAGCGAATCTGTTGGGTTTCAATCTCTGGGGCAGGGGACTGGTAACACGAAAATGCACGCCCCGAAAAACCGGAACAGTCGTGGAACCTTGCTGGAACCTTTCGCTGTTGGGTTGTAAAGCTGGGCTAATATCCACATTCTTGTTGGTTGTATATCACCAATTTGCTTGATTGGATCGAGAAAACTTCGTTGTTTTTTTCGGTCTTTTTGTTACGAGATGTTCTGCACGGACATTTTGTGAACCTTTGAGGAGAACGAGAACCGGGTGGTGGCCTGCACTACTTCAAACTTCTCGGGATTCTTCTCCATGGTGAAGTGCGGGAACCACAGGGAATCAAACAGCATTGTCGCTGTTGGGAGCCGGCATCGTTTTTTTGTAGGTCATAAAATGTATGTGTATATATATATGTATGTATGGTATATATATGTATATATATATATACATATTATATATATATATGGTATATAATTAGACATTTCAATGTTTCCTTGCTCAATCAGCATTTCATGATTGAATCCCTGTGATATGAAAACCTTCGAAACCACCAAAAAATCCCTAAAAAACATTCATAAACTAACAGTTCAATGTGGAAAAAACTCACCATCAAACCTATAGATTACTACAGATCATATAATTTCCCATGGTAAAAGCCATGGCTTTTCTGTTGTTTTTCCACATCTTTCGGTTTTTTTCCGGCTATCCAAACCGCCATATCCTGAAAAATGGTCGTCACGCGCTGCTTGGACCTGAGTCCCGGGGCCTTCGCCTCGCGCTTCAACGGACTGGAGAAGCGATCACCAGGCGGAGGGTTATGGTAGATTCACTAGGGCTTATGGTAGATATATGGCTATGGATCAATACCTATAGATACCATTTTTAGTGGGATGAACATCCATAAATACCAGCTATTTTGATGTTCACTAGGGGGATAGGGTTTTGACCCATCCCCAAGTAGTATATTTGATGATTGAATTGAATTTCTGACTATTCAATCATCAGAGATGTGGATCATACTGGTAAATACCAGATATCTATTCCACCATATATTAGAATTCAATCATCAGAGATGTGGATCTAAGTAGTCTAAGTATCAAAATATGGGAGTTTTATGAAGAACATCATAGAAATGGTATTACCAAAGATGGGATCTAGCCATCTGCATTTAACGTGCTTTCACTTTTCCCGACATATTTGGATCTTACTTGGGATGATTCGGTGAAAACCAGCTGTCAAGCATTGGGATCAAGAAAAGTAGGAATTTACCCACCACACATTTGGACAAAGGCATGAACAATATGTTTTTTTTCCTCTTGTCGGGGGTTGGTCCTTGAGTCGGGTTGTTCTCTTTGAGGCAGTTTTTGGTTTGGGTGAACATTTTGCAAGGAGAGCTGCTACTGGTTAGCTGATCAAAAGTGAGGGTTGCAACCGATCTAAACCGCCACCTCTTTTTTTCTAGAAAGGACTGAGTGAATGGGATTGGAGGTAAAAAGTGAATGGAAAATCACTTGATTTAATGAGGAATAGGCCTTCGCGAAAGATAGTTGCCATAGATGAGGAGATATGTGTGTCTCAACTCAACTAAGAACTAGTCTTGTTTTGGGTATTGTTGGCCGTGTATTTTTTCCCTTTTTTTCCTTGTATGTTTTATTTCCTGGATACAATTTCGTCAACATTTGTGTATGTATGGATATGCCAAAATTTTACCATCCTGTTCCTGTTAGACTTGCAAAAACTTAGGGTCCTCTGTTTTTGGACGCTTAAACTTAGAATAAAGAAACCAAAGTTTCCAAAAATGGACTTGCAAACCCTGGTCATCTGTTTTTTGATTTCTTCTGTTTGGGTTTTAGGGTCCTCCCACAGGATGGTCCTTTTTCCCAGGTTGCTATGCGCTGGCGGTACATGGCGCGGACTCCCGGGATGTTTTTTCTAGGTTACCCCTGGGTTGATAGACCAACCAAGAACCCGAAGATCGTTCTTTTTGTTTGTTTTGTTTGTCTCAATGTACTCAAACCTACCACCGAGAGATTTTCACAAATTCTCAGCAAAAAGCCCTGTGAGTCTGACAGACCACTGAAGGAAAACGGCTCTGGCCACCCATACTTATCAACTCTATTCACCACATCCCATATTTTTTTGCATAAACTTAAATCTATATATCGCCCCTCCTGCGACAATCTACAGGTTCCCCAGATTTTTGGGAAACATCTTCCAGTAAATCCTTCATCAGTATCTGTTGGGGTCGGCCGGGCCGCTCAACATCATTTGAAGTGATAGTTTGGTTGTGGATATCCCAAACTGTGATGTATATAGAAAATATATCAGAAACCCTGTGGCCAATAAACCACAGAGAGACCTGACCAAGCCTCTGGTGGTGCACAGGTCGACTCCCGGATTTGGACGTGGGAGATGACGACTACGAGCCGGATCCGCTCAGACGAAAAGGATTTTTCAGCACTAGGTTAACCAACTGGATGGGTAGAAACTAATCCCGAATAGTCTTGGTATGGGATTATCTGCGTTCACGAGCTAAGAATTTGTCATTTTTTGCAGGGTATCTAAGATTGGCCATGAGCATTGCAACATAGGTCAGTTCTCCCTTTTGAAAGTGGAGAGACCAGATTTTATCATGCGAATGTCTCCAACATATATGACGATTCAAGCTATTCAAAGGAAAATGTGGAGGAAACAACCAGCGGAAAATGCCAGCAGATATGTTCCTTTTTTTCCATGTTCATTTACGGGGGGGGTATGCAACAAAAACCTCGACATATTCCAGGGGGGTTGGAAGTCAATTGCTGCCCACTTCAAGTGCATCACCGGAACCGTAAGTGGTGAATAACCATGGATTTTTACGGTGATTAACCAATAAATTGAGTGGGGTATCCCCGGTTTGATATGGGTATCCCCATCCACTTACTACATCGAAGCAGAGGATTGACCATGTCTTCAACAGGAGACCTTTTTTTTCTGGAAATCGGGTACCCCAAAATCTAAAAGTTGATCATCATATCTTGATCTTCAATTTGGACATGCAAATTGGATTGGTTGGACAGTTTGCAGAACGGGAACCTCGGAACCTCCTCTTTTTTTCGATGCGGCAAGACCATGAATTGCTTGGAAATGGAATGACATCCTGCAGGTGGTCCGAAAATTGGATCAATGCATTTTCATCAACTGATTTTCACCTGCACTTTAATATTAAACCTGCAAATTGCCATATGCCAGGTTTTAAGTTTCGTCCAAACACACCAAAGTGGGGTTTATCAGTTTATCATGTCAGCAGTTTCTAATTATTTTTCAACCGGTTTTAAAGTTGCTGGAACCAATTAAACATGTGCCAAAATGTTGATTTTTTAATCTTCATTTTAATCGGGTTAAACGAGTTTTGGTGTTTAACATCATTTTAAAACCAACGAATGATTTGCGATGGTTAAACACCAAGGATGCCAAGGAGGGGTTTCTCTTCTCTGGTCATTTTTGGGTTCCAGGCCTGACATCGATGATGGTGCGGGAACTAAGACAGACATGGGACCTCAATTTTCCCTTTTTTATGGGTGGTATAAAGGCATAAACATATGGTTTATTGTGGCTAACTACTAGGTTTACGACTGTTTCGCGGCCGTGGTAAAAATGTCCATGATGTGAATAGAAAATCAGCACGCCGCTATAGCGAAACAATGATTTTGCACATCCAGCATGTGAAAATGCATCATCGTCGTTTCAGAAAACTACTTGTTTTTTTCACTGTCATCATCATAATGAGTATCATCATCATCATCATCATCACCATCATCATCACCATCATCATCACCACGATCATATCATCATCGTGATCATATCATCATCACCATCATCGTCATCATCGTCATCATAGTCATCGTCATCATCATCATCATCATCATCATCACCATCACTAGCATCCTCAACATCATATAGATCGTCAGCATGCGTCGAAAATTCAAGAGAACTTGCAGTCGCGTAGCATGACGTATGCATAGAAGGTTCCAGAGAACTTACAGTAACGCAGCATAACGCATGCATCGAAAATTCAATACGTATGCATGGAAGGTTCCAGAGAACTTACAATAGCGTGGCATGACGTATGAGTGGAAGGCTCAAGAGAACTTACAATAACGTAGCATGATGTATGAGTGGAAAGTTCCAGAGAACTTACACTAGAGTGGCATGACGTATGAGTGGAAAGTTCCAGAGAACTTACAATTGCGCGGCATGACGCATGAGTGGAAAGTTCCAGAGAACTTGCAGTCGCGTAGCATGACGTATGCATGGAAGGTTCCAGAGAACTTACAGTCGCATAGCATGACGTACGAGAGGAAAGTTCCATGGAAGGTTCCAGAGAACTTACAGTAGCCACACAGAAGCATGTCCGTCCTCCGCAAGTTCACATGAATGTAAATACATGCCCCACCCCACCCCACCCCACCCCACCCGTGCATACATGCACCTACCGGCAGCCACAGAGAAGCATGTCCTTCCTCCGCAAGTGCACATGAACGTTAATACATGCCCGACCCCACCCCACCCGTGCATACATGCACCTACCGGCAGCCACAAAGAAGCATGTCCTTCCTCCGCAAGTTCACATGAACGTTAATAAATGCCCCTCCCACCCCACCCCAACCCTTGAAATGCGTTGAAAAAACAAAAAAAGGCACTTCGTCCCACGGCCGTGCAGCAGTCGGTGTCCAACTACTAACATTAGTTCATTTTAAAGAGTGTGGCAAATTATGGAGATTTAAGCGTTATTTTAGCGTTGAACTTATGACAATCGTGATTTTAGGGGTGAAAAATGGGGATTGAATGGGATATCAATGGGAATTTGAATTGAATATACACGCAACTATATTCAATCTGGGTGCGTTTGGAATGGGGAATACCCCCAAAGTGGCAATTTAATAAAGGAAATGATGATTCAGCAATGGATTTTGGGGTAACCCATTTTGAAGCAGTCCAAATGGTGGGTAAATAGACTTGGATGGCTAATCTGCATGCATTTGACAGGTCTCCAGTGTTGTCCAGTCATTTCACAAGCAAGTGGGTAGCTTGGGGAATCAATCATGCGACCTTCAACGGAAATGAATCGGTGTGCAAAGCTCTCAGCACCTACGGGTTGCAGTCAGCATTTTATGCAAAGCACGGGCAAAAGGGGCCCAGAAATGCGACCAGAAGCCGAGAAGCCGAGAAGCCGAGAAGCCCCTGCACTGATTTTATGTTGTCCCACAAAGGCCTGCCATGAGAGGCACTTCGTGTTGCCATGGCCGTCATGTGTTGATCACTCTGGGGGATGTTGTTGTGGCCACATGCTTTCCATAAATTTGCCAAAGATCAAACGTATTTCTCTGTAATTTGCAGAGTTTCGAACCCTGAAGCCAAGACATTTGAAACAACCCCAAATAACAGCAAAACAACCCAAAATAAAGCCTCAATCAACGCGAAATTAACACTAAATTAATCCAAACCAACCCGTTTTCAACCCTAAATTGATCTTAAGACAACCTTGAGATAGCCATAAACTCTGTAAGCCAGTGAAACTTTGTGCAAATACCTCAGAGGGATACATTTAATGGGGAATTGACCACACTCGGCGACCTTAGAATCTCAGTGGAACAACTCCATAGGAAGTGGTCATGAACCAACTGCTGCTGAAAGCCCTATGTATTGGTTGGTGTAATATTGATTTTTGTTTCAACTTCCCCCATAATAGCTGACTTTCTCACAAAACATATACTTCCCAATAGTTTTGTTGATAAAAATTAACCTGAAAACTATTGTTTTGTAGTTTTTATCTAACCACTTTGTTTCCAATATACTTCCCAATAAGAATAACAGGAAACTGCCAGTGGTTCTTTTTCTGCCCCAACTTTGTTGAGTTCAGGTCCCGAGAGCGAGCTGCAAGGCAGGTTTCGAAAGGATGTGCGGTCATGCTGGGTCCGTCATCGTTGCCAAGCCCGACTTCAGCTTTACCCGGGTTTAATTACAGGGGTTGGTAAATGTCCGAATGTTTCACATCACCCAGCTATTGGGGATATACAGTAATATAATCTCCAACAGATACTTGTTTTAGTGATGTGAAACAAATCTCCCATTTTGGGGACATTTACCAAGCCCTGTTAGTTATGGGGGTACTCCCCAAATAGTTTAAAGAACATGCTATTCAAATGGCACCCCAATGAAATAACAACGCAGGGAGAACTAATCGGGGGTTGACATTACCTGAGATGTAGCCAATATGTTCAGGTGAGCCATGAAAAATATCACTATCCCATCTCATGAAATACTAGTTGGTTGAATACTAGTAACCCAATCCTATGGCTTATCATAATCCCCAGTAAAATTAGGTAGTTTTTCAGTCCCTAGTTCTTAACCAATCAACCAGGGTATTTTCAATCACAGCCCCATATGTTTGGTAGTTAGCCTATAAAACCTCTATAATTCATCGTTCAATGTCCCTTTAAAATCCCATATAACCATCCCATGAAATTAGGTACCCTCTGGTAAACATACAAAAAACTATGGAAAATCACCATGCTGTTAATGGGTAAATTAACTATTCAATAGCTATTTTGACATAACCAGAGGGTAGTTTTTCAGTCCCCAAGGTGATGTGAGAACGCTTTGATCCCCAGCAAGGCTTTCTTCTCGCTTCTCCCAAAAGGTGATGTCAAGAGCTTTTTTCAGAAGTGATGTTCAAATCATGTTGATGATTTAATGGGATTTAATTGATTTAATGGTAATTTAGTGGGATTTAATGGTAATTTAGTGGGATTCAATGGTAATTTAGTGGGATTTAATGGTAATTTAGTGGGATTTAATGGTAATTTAGTGGGATTTAATGGTAATTTAGTGGGATTCAATGGGATTGAATGGGATTTAATGGGGATTCAATGGGATTAAATTCAGGGCTAAACAAATCAAGGAATATCCCCACAAACTATGGCCTGAAGAACGGTACAAGCGCAGCTCCATTTTAGGGTCTTGAAATGTCCATTGGATAATCCGATAAACCATTGTGAATGATAGAATTACAGAGATATTATGGATCAGGGTTCTTTCACCCAATTCATTCATAGATATCAACCATAATGATAGAACCACAATATCATTTACATATCTCCCATTATTGTTATAAACCATTTTCCCATGATACTCCCCATTCAACCTTGTTTTTTCGTGAGTTGTAAACCATTACGAAGCGGTCATGAAGAAACGGGTACGACTTTAGGGGGACGCAGGCAGCGCCCAGTTCGCTTCTGGCCCCGCATCGCCGTCGCAGCGATCGGATGAGGAGTTGAAGGGAAGCATTGCACTCTATCATCCCTAAGATCGTTGCAATAAATGCCCTTGAAAATCGTAGGGACTCAAAAAATGGACGGATGATTTGGGAGAGTTTTATGCAAGTGACAAAACATTGCCTAAGAAAAACATGCCCTTGATGGAGTGTATGAACTGTTGAATCCCTAAGAATAATGAGGAGAATGATAGAGAATGTGTCTGGCCGTCTCGTGTTGATCCTCCCGTAACCACAAGCACAAAAAAATCTAGATCACCTAGATTCGTGCACCCCAGTAAAATCATAGGAAAAACATGGGAAAATATAGGAACGTCCGCTTTTTTAATGCAGGCTCGAATGGGATTTGCCGAGTCGATGATTTTTGGGATTTTCTCCATGGGGATTTTCCACGAAGAACGGGGACTCTTTGCTGGGACCAAAAGCACTGGTTTCCATTACAAAACCCCTTGAAAACTTGGAGGATCTTGGGGTCTCAATTTTGGTATATGGGTATGGATCAATACCTATTAATACCATTTTTAGGGGGATGAACATCCATTTACCAGCTATTTTGATGTTCACCAGGGGTACAAGGTTTTGACACACTGCCATATGATCTGTTTTTTTTCCCCATCTTTAATGATGTATTGATGTATCCAGAGGGATTATTTATTCATTGAGGACCAGCTTATAACTTAAAGAATTCCAAGTATGACTGGAATGGAATGTTTCATTGGCTCCAAATTATAACGATCCCCGGGAAAAATGGCATGGAATTGAATGAAATGATTGGAGACCAATCCAATGATCATCAAACCGTTTTCCTGGGGATGTCTATGCCCATTCTGTTTTGATTCCCGTTGCATGGTCAAACAGAAGAGTCGTGGTTCTGATTTCATTGGTTAATTCAAGATCATAATTCCATTCTATCCCAACTTCTTCAACATATTTTTACAGCACAACAAAAATCAGATTTGGATTGGATCAAAAGGGAAACAATTTACAGGAAAACCCCATGATCTTCATGGTAAACATATGTAAATCCATCATTTCCGTTGACACGTGTCGTCCCCGTTTCAACCAGGACTTTGACATGATGAGATTTTTGGCGTCGCCGTCCCCGGCGCCTGAACGGAAGGTGCGGATGGAGTTGGGAAAGATTGTGGGTCAAGTGGCTGAAGTCTATGGTTCACTTAGTTTACTTTATGGGTTTTTGGAAACCGTTTTTTCTTTTTGGGGGGATTCAACTTCCACCATTTTTTTTTTTGTAAGTTTGGATTTGACCTGCCAAGATTTTTTTGGAACATGTGGAGATGTTCAGCTAGGTGGGAAATGGCCCCACAAATGGTGAAATTGGTAGGCATGTGGATTTGGGGTGGAATCAAAGTAGTTACCCTCTGGTTATGTCAAAATAACTATGGAAAATCTCCATTTTCACAGGTAAATCAACTATTTCTATGGGCCATTTTCAATAGCTGTCAGGGAAACCAAGCCAAATAGAACCGGGGTGCTGCGGCATCTAGCTGAGGTCACCATAAATGATGGGGGGAAGGGAGGGAATCATCCTCTTTTGGGGAGTGAACTTTCAGGTGATTTATATAATATAGAGTAACTAGCCGAAAAGAATTGGTATTCACATTGAAATCTGCAACTCAGGACGCATATTTTCTATGAGAATTTTCCATAGTGTCATTGGTGCGTCATAGGGAATGCATTGATATCCTGCGAATTCCCTACATTGGAAATCTATTTTCCAGCCTATTGATATTATATTGTCCCAGGTAAGTTGTGGATCTTAGGAGATGAGTTGCTTCCCTCCGAACCGGGATTTACCTCGCTGGGTTCACCTTTGGTTTTTGAGCCAAGGATGAGGGTTTCCCATAGTCATGGGGAATCCACAATGGCTGGTTGGTTGATTTCATGGAACATCCGAAAATAACATGGATGATGAGTCCTGGGGTACCCCGATTTCAGCAAACCTCCATTTAAGTCTAAGATGCCCAAAAATCTGACAAATAAAAGTGATTGGATTAACCGTATGTATAAGTAAACATCCAAGATATGAGTTCAATTCTTTTACGCATCCAAGTAAATGGCGATGCCTGAAAAGTGGTATTATTGGTCGCACAAGAGTTTTCTCCTTTCGGGCAAAAACATTTGATCGTGGCCCCACAATATTTAGGCGCATCTTACAACATGCATCACCAACCAGTACCCTCTGGTAAATAAACATAGACCCTAGTCTTCCAACCCCTATCTGCCAGGGTCTATGTTAATTTACCAGAGGGTATTGCGTACTGTCAGTTTTATCTTGGACATGACCCAGCACTTGCAAAAATTGGGAAGATTTGTACAAGTCAATAGGAGGGTGAAACCGGTGAAACGAATGTTGGGAGTCCTGAAGTCATCAGTTGGTTAAAGCTTTATGGGATTGACATCATTGACATCATTGACATCATTGACATCATTGACATCATTGACATCATTGACATCACATAAAGTCACTTTGAGAATGATTTTATCATATTTTCTCCGCAAACATCCTGATGAAATATCCATCCCGGGATGCAAAAAATCCCCAGTATTTTGGGTGAATCCAGGGATTTTCTCAAGCGGTTCCCGCTATTTTTTTGCACAACGAAAAAGGGAAAGGAAGATGTGCAGGGAATGAGGGAATAAGGGAATGTTGTTGTTTATTATTGATAGTTATTGTGCATCAATTTTTCAGTTGAACTGATCTTACTGTTGCTAAACGCAGGGAATTTTTGTGAATGATCCACTGGCTAACTATCAATAATCATCCCAGCAACCCCCAGCAACCCATCCATTCCCTACGTTTAGCACCAATAAGTGATTGAAGCATTTGCATCTCATTTGAACCATTCGATCTGATCAAGTCCTTGCATTTGAGGGTTTCCATCAAAAATGGGGGTACCCCTCTATCGCTGGATGGTTTATTTTTCATAGAAAATCCGAAAATCACATGGATGATGAGTCCTGGGGTACCCCTATGACTTTGGAAACCTTGAGGGCCCTGCCTCTGCGCGCTCGCGGCACAGCGGTGAGGTGGTGAAAGATGGGGCAATTTGTTCTGGAAATTGGTGGAACTTTACTGAGAAAATGGGACATTTACCAGGAAAACATGGGATATTCATGGGATATCCATAGGGATATCCTGGGATATAACTGACCCATTTCCAGAGATTTTTTTTCTGCAGCACATGAGGAAAAGGATTTTTGGAGTTGATCAGCAAACACAGACAGATTCGGCAGAAGACTAGTCGATTTCCTGATTTCATGAGCAAACATGGTGATGTGGTGCCATATGGGGATGGGTCAAAACCCTGGTACCTAGTGAACCCCAAAATAGCTGGTAAATGGATGTTCATCCCACTAAAAATGGTATTAATATGTATTAATAGGTATTGACCCATACCCATATATTGGAATTTTTAAGTAACAATCATGGTACCCTCTGCTTGTGACTAACAGTTTGCTATTAAAAATTGCCATTTATCTTGGATTTACTCATTGAACATGGTGATTTTTCCAGAGTCTTTTGTATGTTTGCCTATCAAAAGTGAACATGTCATCTAAAAGCCATTCCTTTGAAAAATCCCTTTGAATCCTGGGATAACCCTCTACAGTGATCCCTTTCTTCTCATGGCTTTGTCGTTTTTGTTTTTGTTTTTCAGCCTCCGAAAATTGATGAATAATCATCACTTCAGCATTTGATAGCAAGGATATACCCAAATTGGATACAGTTACATCAAGTTACATCCCATGAAATATCATAATTCAATTATATCATCATATCATATCCAATTCAGCCCAATGAGAAAAATTGTCCCATGAAAAATCCCCATGAATCCCCGTAAGAGATTCCCATAAAAAATCACCATGTGAAAAATACGTAAAATTGGACATAGTTGCTTAGTGTTATCCCCATTTGATATCCAATGATTTTTTTTGTTATGGTTATATCGTTATATTCCCATTATTAATAGTTACCCTCTGGTATATTAACATAGACCCTGGCAGATAGGGGTTGGAAGACTAGTTTCCATTAAACATGGGTGATTTTCAGGGTCTATGTTAATTTACCAGGGGGTATATTCCCATTAATAGTTATACTCCCATGATATCTTTCCATTAATATCCCATTAAATCGCCATTTCTTATAGCCGAATCCCCTAGAAGTGGTGGGTACTGCGTGATCCTCGGCTGGTGACCTGAACTGCTGGTCTTTGAACTGCTCAAGCCATGAATTTTCCCTCGGTTTTTAATGTTTCAATCAGCATTATTCTCAATACCAATATGGAGGTTTCCTGAAATAGAGGTACCCCCCAGTCATCATCCATTTTTATGAATTTTAATGGTCTTTTCCATGATAAACCAGCCCTAACTTGGGGATCCCCCATGACTATGGACACCCCAATATGTCTCAAAATATGCCCCACCATATAGTTATTAGATGCTATTAGTTGGTTGGTTCTATGATTCTATCCCGTGATCCCCGATGTTCACTACATCCCATCATTTGTCCCATTGGATCCTCATGAAATCCCCAATAGGATCATCGGTTTTGCTGTCAAGGGGCCCCATGAAAAATCCCCCGTGTTTGTTCGACACCAAATTGGTTCGTTGGTGAATGTTGCTTCGTTGCATCGGAAATATGAAAACATTCACATCCTACTAAATACAATTCATATAATGACTACATAGAGTTCATATAATGGTTAAATCAACATTATCCCTGTGAGTTATATCCCATGACATGGTTAACTCACCATTTCATGCAAGCAACTTCTGGGACTTATCTCATGAAGTTTTTCGTGAAATTTTCCCCATGATTGATGTTCTGTTTTTCAGAGAAAAATCAAACATCCCCAATGTTTTCATCATTTTTCATGGCTAGATCCCTTCGTTTAGCCTCTGGTGAACTGTCACATAACTATGGAAAATCACCATGCTATTAATGGGAAAATCCACTATTTCTATGGTCATTTTCAATAGCTACGTTAAATTACCAGAGGGTACCTTGGAATTCCCAATGAACATCCCAAAAACCCGAAAAAACCCAAAAGCATCGCCCAGTCTCTGCAGGTGTCACCTTCCCCATCTCCGGCTCTGAAGGGTTCAGAGGTCTGACATCGAGTGGGGAGATTTTTCCATAGAGAAAATGATGGGATTCAGCCATTTTTCGATGGGATTCTCAAGTTCACCCAGGGATTTAGCCATGAAAACTGATGGAAAATATGGAACATGGGGATTCTTCACTGATTTTTAACCGAAAATTGGGAAAATTGAACAGGAAAGTTCGGAGATGAGCCAGAATTTGCTTATGGTCATTTGACCATAAAGAATGGGGAGATGTCATGGAATGAAGCTAAGCAACCATGTACTATTCATAAGTTAGAAGATTGAGACTTCAATCTTTGTTTCAATTTTGTTGGCACATTCTGGATGTTACTGGGACAGTTTGGTCTGAAATATCAACATATCCTTCTAATGTCAGCATTTTCCCTTGAAAACTCGAGTTTAGAAGTGGATCTCTATTCATTTTGGGGTTCCCACTTGGGGGGCGTATTGAACATTAAGGGCATTGGATTATTTTGGACTAAGACCAGGATTTATCATCAGTCCATAGTGCAGTTGATCCACGATCCTGCAGGCGAAGAGAAAGAGGCTGAGAAAAGCCGAGGTGCCGCCCCGTTGAACAGTCCCCATGGATAATTGGGGCCCCCATGACTTCGGAAAGCTACAGACCTTGGCATTTAACTTGGCATGTTTTTTTAAATGTGACCCACAAAGACCGGTTGGCATTTCTAATTCCTTGGGGTAACAGGGGTTGTTTGTCTGAATCCCATCCAATCTAGTGCCCGAAGTCAGCCAGAAATGCTGGGTGCAGATTTAGAGAATCATAATCCCATCCCTTAAATCATAGCTGAAACACATTCCGAAATGCCACTGCTGCCATCGTTGAGGTACCTTCTGCCTCGCCTGCCTTTAGTGCGTCCTCGGACCCTAAGCAGGTGACCTGGTTTTTCGTTTTCAGGATTTTCGGGGCATGATCCACCCAACTGTAAAAAAACAATGTACCCTCTGGTAAATAAACATAGACCCTGAAAATAACCAATTGTTAATGGACACTAGTCTTCCAACCCCTATCTGCCAGGGTCTATGTTAATTTACCAGAGGGTATCTTTTCTTTAGAGGATTCCCGAGCTCCTTTTCTTTCTTATTGAATCATGCATGATATGCATGTTCATCCCAGAGTTCTGTGATCGGACCAATTTTGCTACGGGTTGGAAGGTCAAGGGTGTCTTTGCCGGTATCGGCCATCTTTTTTGGGGAAAACCAATGAATTCCTATGAGATTTCCTTTGAACCAACCCAATGTTCCTGTTGTTTTTTTATTTTTATCCCAACACGAATCCGGCGTTTCTGAAACCGGCGTTTCGATCCTTACGAACCCTGTGAATCGCTGGGGTTCAGCGGCGTAAATTCTTCCTCAACCTTTCTGGCAACAAGAATTTGGTAGGACCAACGTTGGCAACATGACAGTCGCATCGACAGTTAGGGTGAAGTAATCTGTTTCTTGTTTGTTTGGGGCCTTTAGGCTCAAAAGCTGGAGTGGTTAAGACGACCTTCAGGTCTGGCACAAAACAAGACCGGATTGGCTGAACCCTAAAGATAGTGAGGCAACCAATGAAATCCGGAGTAAAATGGCTCACTCAATGAAAGAAAGACGGTCTGAACATTTTGTACCCCTAACTTTGCTGCTTGATGATCACATATTTCCAATTGAACAAATGATATATTGCATGGGTAGAGCCCATTTACGGACAAACCCTTAAATGGAACTGGTTGGTGGTTTGGAACATGTTTTATTTTTCCATATATTGGGAATGTCATCATCCCAACTGACGAACTCATATTTTTCAGAGGGGTAGGTCAACCAGCAAGCAGTGAATTTTATGTTTGGATTTTCCGTGATTTTTCACCATTTCTGGTGGTTTTTCACTCGGGACCAGTTGGAAGATCTGGGCCTCCTGCGCTTAGGCACCGGTTCTGAAGGACGATGAGAGCGCGGAATTCAGGTAGTGAGTTCCAGTGGAAGTGGAAACCCGTCTTGAGCACGTTCGCCAACGAAAGCGTGCTATGCAAAATTCGGGAGCGCAGTGACAGTGGCCGCCAGAATTTTTTCGTGGCCTGAGCCGCTTTCGTGGCAGATGGCCAAACTTTGCTGGATCCCTAAACGAAGACTGAGAGGGGCCTTTATTTGGCCCTGGCGTGGAGGTTTGAAGAGTCACGAGTTTGTCGAATACACCCCAAAAATACCAGGCTACCATGGTTGACTCGGTTGACAATTTTCTCCATTAAAGTCGCCATTTAATCCGGATATACATTTGGACAACGCCAACTCATTTTGTTGCTTATAAAATTTATAAATCCAGTTTTACATATTATATGCATATACGTATATATATATAATATACACGTATATATATATATATGTATATAGAGGTAATATCCTACTAAATATAAATATAACCATAAGATTGCTTTGTTTCAGGTTGGTGAAACAGACCCACTATATAAATTGAACGTGGAACTCATACGGCCCAGGACATATCGAAGATTTGGGGGTTCCATGTGAAATTTAGGGGATACAATGCATCCGTTCCGGCGAAACCCAGATTCGTCCATTCTCGTCCATTCTCATATGAGTATTGGTCAATTCTTTGGGCACCCGTAAGTGCTGTTTGGATGGTATGAAAACATAGCGGACATGTGATGTTTATTTGTTTTGGACCCTTGGGGACCTGAAAAAACAAAGCTATCTTTAACTCATCTTATGTGGAGAAGAATAACAGTAGAGCGGGAATAGATATTCTACAGCAAAACTGTGCGTGGTCCCTTAGGCTTTAGTCTTCTTTTTTTCCCTGTACCCTCTGGTAAACTAACGTAACTATGGAAAATCACCATTTTTAATGGGAAAATCCACTAAAAATGGCCATTTTCAATAGCTATGTTAGTTTACCAGATGGTACCTGTTATGTGAGTGCTGAAGTCTCCATGACAGTTTTGAAAATGTCCGCGATGGAATTTTTGACAGCTCGAGCTGTTGCAGACGTCTCAGCTCTGACAATTTCTGCCCTGTCTGGTGGGAAGCTCAGGGACTCCGAGAGATGGGGATGAAACTAACACAGCAACAGCTAGACCCACTTTCTACAACCATAGCATAGCGAAACGATATGGCAAATGGTATACAAAAAAAGCGAGGTCAAGATAGCTCGTTTTTTCTTCATTGATCTGGCTGAATTATGACGGAAGACTGGTTTTTCTCACAAAAAAACGACGAGATGTTCGTGACTACGGTGACTACGGTGACTGGTGGACATTTCCAAGAAATGGAAGAAATCATCCAAGAAGGGCCCACAGTGAAGTGTTTTTTGCATACATAAAGGTTAGTAAAATAGTAAGTATAATCATTAATAATAAATCAATCATCAATCATTAATCATTAATCAATCATCAATCATTAATCATTAATAACCTTTGCATATATATAAATCAATCATAAATCATAAATCCACTGCTTAGTGAAGTAACCACCCTTTGCCTTCAAAAATCCGTCCAATCTACCCAGTAGTCAAGCCATTAATCTAAAATCAAGCCTATCTACCCATAGCGTAGAAGAGTCACTAACATCTCAAATCATCTAAACAGTCACTGGGAATTCCAGGATCCTAAAATGGAGGTACTGTACCATATAAGGCCATATTTTGGTGGGATATGCCCTTACATAGCCCTGAAAAATAGGCCTTATATATGGTAGGTACCTCCATTTTAGGCTCCTGAAATTCCCATTGAAACAGGGATCTTCCAGTCACACAACTAGAGCCGGAAAACCCCCAGTCAATCCTACAAGATCTATTCCTTAGTTGGATAGAAACAGCATTTTATCGAAAACAAACCACATGTGATAGCCTCTGGCAAAGTAACATAGCGAACTGGAAAATCACCATGTTTAATGGGAAAATCCACTATTTCTATGTCCATTTTCCAACTAGAACTAAATGTGCCATGGCTTCAAGTTCGCAAACTGTTGACATCACCACATGTGATAGCCATCATTTTCCCCATTCCTTTCCCGAGATGCCTCCCCTTCGGGCCATAGCTGCCATGCCCGACGTTGCGAGGTTCCCAGCGTCATGGCTTTGAAGTCGCTGTTGATCCTCGCTCAGTTGGGCCTGGTGGCATCTCTCGCACCAGGTGAGCCACTTGGGGACTTCACCGGGAAAGATGGTGATTTTACCCTGGTTTTTACATGGCACATGGGATGATGAAATAGGATTTTTCCCGGTAAAAAAGGGAGGATTTTCCAAAAAAATGGAGAGTTTTTATTGGTCAGGACACGACTGACCATGCACAAAGGGGGATCGAACCAGCGAAAAATGGGTGAGTCAACTGCGAAAAATGGGTGAATTTCCCAGGAAAGTATGGAGATTGTAGCTGCAAAAAAAACAGGGATTCTACCAGCGAAGCTGCAATTTTCGGAGATTTCAACTGCAAGAATCGGGGTTGAACTGCTGACACATGCGGGTTTTAACCAGCAAACATCAGTGGTGGGTATGGACCAAACCTGGTGGTTCTTGGCTGGGAGTTTATCTACCAGGTCACTTGAAATTGTCTCAAAAACTCTTGGCAAGCTGAGTAGTGTCGACCCCCAGATTTTCAAGAACCCCCTCTTAGGACTAGACATATCATTGGGTACCATTTCAGAATTGGAATGAATTACAATGAATTATAATTATGAATTATATTACATATATATCTATATATATCTGCATTATTTTAGTATTTAAGGGTCTTTCACCGTTGAATGCCCCATGAATCACAGGAGACTGCGCCTTTGTTGGAATCTACGGTGATCAGGCGTGGGTCGCAGGTATTTTTCATCGATTCGGAAGCGCAAGCAGTTACTTTTCCCGGGTGAAAAGTTATGATTAAGCGGGAAAAGTTGGGCTGTAAATACATATATGGCAGTGTGTCAAAACCTTGTACCCCTGGTGAACATCAAAATAGCTGGCAAATGGATGTCCATTCCCCTAAAAATGGTATTAATAGGTATTGATCCATACCCATATATATATATATATATCGGTATAGTATCATTAAGAGCTTCGGTTTTGAGTCCATTCCGCAGCAGTAAAAAAATCGAACGTTATTAGGGGGCTTGTGAAACGTGCACAACTCCTATGAAACGTGCACAACTTCTATGGAACGTGCACAACTGCTATGGAACGTGCGCAACTCCTATGAAACGTTCGCAACTTCTATGATTTATTTAAGTTCTCAAACACTGCAAAAAGCTCTTAACGATACTATACCCATATATATATATACATATGTATTATATTATTGTCATTATTTTTACTAGTACTTACACAAGGCTATGTGTATATATATATATATACAAAATGTATGTATATGTAAATACATTGACATGTAGATCCATATCATGGAGATATGATGGAAATTCCATGGGTCTAGCAGGGCCCAGGCATCAACCGGCAGGCGCCACTGGAATTGTTGTTTTGGCGTTCCAAATTCTGAGAGAACCCACTATTTGGGCAGATTGTTATCTGGATTTAGTGGTGTTGACTATCCATTTTGGGGTATGAGGTGAATGTTCATCAAGAGAAATCGCTTCGGTTCTTCATTTTAAACAACAACTAATATGAAGCTGCCCCTATTACGGCCATGTATATACAACATCAATCTAAGACTCCGAAAACCACACCGCAGTGGACCAACCGTTTTTTTTTACTTTCGCGAGCAGAAGTGGTGGGCCGGTTGGCTTCCCCAGTGACGTCTTGAGTCAAAGTCACTGTCACGGGTTGCAGCAAAGGGGTGATAAAAATCGCTATTTATCTGACGATTTTTCAGGTTTTACATGGTGTTACCATGAATAAGTGGTAGGAAATGACTGGGCATTAACCACGGTTGGGGTGATTTTTATGGGTGTAGTTAATTATGCTTAACTTATATCCGCATAAGTTGGGATATAGATATAACTGAACCGGTATAAGTATGGTGAAATATCGCCAGAACAAGTTCACCGGACCGGTTGACTGCAGCCTGAACTTAAAACAACAACTGTGTGTTGGCTTCGCAATTCGATGGTTTAGAACACCACTTTCCCCACTATGAAATGGTACCGTTTGGAGGTATACTTGGTGGTTCTCCGTAATAACGAGATGATAAGTGGCTAATCACATGTAACGCTGATAAGCAAGATAAGTAGGCTTCCTTCAGTTATAACTGGAGTTATAACACATTTCCCAACTCGGATGAGCCACAAGGAAACCCCATTTTCAAGTTCAGCTGGAACTATGGTAACCCCGAAACGCCACAGGATGACTTTGCCTTGGTGCTCATGGAGGATGCGGATGGCGAGGTGCTGTCTTTGACGGAGGAGTACCCCACCAACGATCATTTCAAGGTGCGGTTTGAGGGGAGAGTCATCCCAGGGTCGCCCTTCGGAACAAAAAAGATGGAAGAAACTCACGAAAATGGTGGAAATTTCAACTTGAACTCAGCCATCGGAAATTTCAACTCGAGTTTCGATGCGTTCGCTCGACATTCTCTCAGTTCCTCAGGGTCTCTCAGAAGGTTCCATTCGGAGGTGGTTCGACTAGCTGAAAGGCTGAGATTTCGATCGGTTCGTAGATTTTTGGAATGGGTCAATAGCAGACTTTTTGATTTGTGACACATGTTCCAAGTCCAGAGTTTGGACCTTGGGCTTGGTTAAACGGTTAAACGCTGGCAAGGGTACCAGAGTTTTGGACCAGCACATTTGGTTGGTTATGTCCAGTGTTACCAAGAATAGACTGGGGATACAGCCAACCATTTTTAGGAAATTGCTGAAGCTGGACAGAGCTTGGTTTGGGGGGTCGATAGCTGAACTTTCCGCTACAAATGAGTGTTTTTTGGTGATGACAGGTGAGGTTTAAAACCGTGTAACATCAAATCGAACATCATCTCTAAGACAACTAAGAGTTGATTCACTGGATTGGTTTAAGGGAAAATCTACAGGAAACCATGGTTTTTACCATCAAATATAGGGATTTCCTGTAAATTTTCCCTTAAACCAATCCATTGATTGATACTCACTATCATCATTATGATTAAATTACTACTAATCAATGGCCATTTCAGGAATCATTTCATTGGAGGTACCTAACATATAAGGCCTATGTAAGGGCTATGTAAGGGGATATACCCCCCAACGGATGGCCTTATATGGTACAGCACCTCCATTTTATAGGATCCTGGAATTCCCATTGACTAATTATTGTTGTCATGCACTTTTTCCCCGATCATTTACTGTAACATATTGGATCTTAGATACATTCCCATGATTGTATCATCTTAGATCATACATGATCTCACCCCTCCGGGTCCCAGTCATATCAATGTGTGGTTAGTGTTTTTTTCGGGCTGAACGCGGGCCACAAAAATAAGGCGTTACTGAACGCTATCCTTTACAGGGGCTCCAGTAGATTTGCCATGCTCCCAGGTCAGCAAGTCGGTGGTGGCTAAGACGCACGTGAGCGATGCCAAGAGGGGTGCTGCATCTCGGCTTGGCGATCCGGTTTTTCGGATTTTTTTGGGCCGAAGAATATCTTTTTTTTGTGGAAAACCATGGGAAAATCCGAACGAAATATGGAGGTTTCTAGCCCAAATCTGATGGGATCCGATGTTTGAAACAGGAAGATCTTGTGATTTGACAAGAATTCGACGTTTGTCAGTATAGAAACGGAGAGTTCACCATATTCTTGGCCAGTCCAATGGGGCGGTCAATGAGTTTGGGGATTCTCAACCTAGCCTTTTGAATCGGGGATGATCTCAATCTCTTAACCAAGCAGTATGTTTACAGCTTAGGGAGGACGTGACGGCGAGATGAGGATCACCAGTGGCATACCAATATACCATAATATACCATCATATCCATCATGGAATTATTGTATCTGTAAGATATCGTGTAATTTTTCACAATATTTTGTAGTTTGAAAAAACATACAAAAAAATATACTAATCACATAAAATGTGGTTTAGATACCTCTTAAAAAATCCCCAATTTCTGTTTTATATCTCCAATTTATTGGCTGGCAAGGTTCTGACCCAGTGATGCCAGCAGTGGAACACCACCTTGCGGTAACGTGTGGAAACGCGTCCTCGAAAAAAAGGTGTTTTGCATCTAAGGCCCACAAAAATATTGGATGATTTGGAACAAGATTAGAATATATGTTATATCCCTATTGCTAGCGGAAAATTCACAGTGTTTGCTGATCATATAGTTGAGAACCATTATACATAACCATTATATACATAACCACTATATACATAACCATTAATTGGAAACCATGAACAACAAGTTTAAAGACCAGAATTTTTTGTTGGTTAAATCCCATAACTGATGTCAAATAACCATTAAATAACCACTAAATCACCCTAAATCACCATTAAGCAATAATGATAAACTGTGTCATCCTTGGTTTCTATACTCCTGGTTAAATCAGGATGAATGGGTAGTGACAAATCCTGAATAATCGCGATTTCAATGGGACTATCCATTAGTTGTCATTATTTTATATAATATCCTGGATAGCATCATATCCTATTATATCCTATTATATCCTATTTGTCATTATCTGATATTAATTAAATATCCATATCCTTTCACCAACTCAGATTTTTTGATTTTCCATGGCGTCCATAGGTCTTGAAGAAGGCGGACTTCGAGGCTGACTCTGCGTCACCTGGCATTTCTTTGGGAAAATGATGTTGACATGTGCTGAAACCAGTGAAATCAGAGGACTTCATCGGCGTGGTGACTTTTGAGTGTTGAGCGCACGACAAAGCATGGGGATTGAAGTGTTGAAAGCAAGAAAATATGTGGATATGGACAGCACTGAAACGAAGACAATCTGAACATATTTTGGGGATGGAAGCACGACTAAAGACGATTTTGAGCTGAAGATTTTAAACTGACCAAACTCACCAATGGTCATTCTTAACGAGAAAAACCGGGCTTCTACCCTTGGTAATTTGCTGCATAGCTATGGAACACGGCCGATTTAGTTCGATGATTTACCTGTTAAAAAACGGTGATTTTCAGAAGTTTTGTTAAATATACCCCTAGGGACCCGCAGGGTGCTTGATGGTGATCCATGTTTCATGACCTACTGGAGCTTTTTTGTCCCTCAACGGAGGGGAAGCCGCACGATTATCGGAGCAATGTCCTTGACAGTAGATTTGCTATAGAAAGTCATCATTTTCCATAGGAAAATGATCTAAGGTGGTGCCCCCAAGATAGCTAAGTTGGTGAACATAACTCCAATTTCACTATGGTTTATAGGTGATTAATATCTATAGTATTCATGGGGTTTATAAACCAATTTATAACGTTTGGGGGCACCACCTTGTAGATTGAATCTATCAATGGACAATTTTCCGTTCGCAAACTGCTACGTTCTGCCAAAACGAACATCGAAAAAAATGCTGATGAAATTCACCGAAAATTTTGGCTGAGCCGCAAGACATATCCTCATCATATCCTGCGATGTGAACGGAATGATTCAGAATCCCCATATGGGTATGGATCAATACCTATTAATACCATTCTTAGTGGGATGAACATCCATAAATCCCAGCTATTTTGATGTGAACTACAGGGGTACAAGGTTTTGACACACTGCCATATGCCATGGAATTGCCTACCAGATGAACCAAGATGAAAAGAAGAATTCAGCCGTGATAGGTCCCTGAAATCCCTAAAATGTGTCATCAAGTCCAATGAGATCCTAGAAATCCGATGGTTGGTGGTTCAGGTTTGCCCTCCAAACATTGGGTCACCTGATTGGCTTGGTTGAATCCCATGGACACCGATTCTAAGCACTGAAATGCACTGAACAGTTCACCCATGATTGCAGTTTTCCCAAAGATTCTTCATCTCCCACGCCAAAAAAATGCCAGGGTTTTTCCAACGAATTTTCCCCCAAATTTGCCTGGAAGATTCCAAGTAAAATTGCCCTACAAAAAGTACAAAAATCCGCAGCTCAGTCGATGGCATCCATCCGCCCCAGGTCCTTTGTGGCTCCCACCGCTTTGACCATCTTCACGGGAAGCCAGGAGGCGCCTACGCCGCTGTGCAGCATCAACTTGGAAGCCAAGCAAGGTGCGGTGGGTGGGCTGGGAGTGGGGGGCTAGGGTTGGGAAAAATGTGGAAAATGTGGATTGATTCAATTGAAGCATGGGGGATTTCAGTGAGTTATCCATATTTCCATGGGGATTTGATGGGGATTTCATGGGGATTTGACTGATGAAAGTATATTCAAGTATCAAACATGGGGAGTTACACATCAAAATTCAGGAGAGTGGCGGGAAAATGCATCAACTGGGTGGCTTTACCTGTGGATTTTCTGATGACTTTGTGAAGTTAGTGGGTTGTAAAAACCACCAAGCCACTTCGGGCCTTAGGACATATTTCATATAGAATATATCATTCCCCTAGTTTAACATAGGGCTATGGATCAATACCTATGAAAATACAATTTTTAGTGGGTTATTCACATCCATAAATCCCAGCTATTTTGATGTGAACAGAAGGGAGATAGGGTTTTGACCCATCCCCATAGATGCTTAGAATCACGATGATTTTTGAGAGGAACTGAGTCTTCTAACCTACAACTCACGGCAGGATCAGCCCAGAAAATGGGGAATGGTCTGTGCAGGTAGCGTCACCCGCAAGCTCAGCGAGGAGGTGCTGTTGTGGGGTGAAGAGACCCAAGAATTGGGACTAATGGGGCCTCAATTTTTTCGGGATGAGGGTTGTTTTTTAATGTTTTTTAATGGGTATAACGGCATAACTATGGTGTTTTTTATGGGTATAATGGCATAAACAAACTATTTTTTTATGGCTATAACGGCAATTTCTATGGTGTCATGATGTGTCATGTATCCACTTCGTTGGAACTGTAGCCCCAAGTATGGTTGGATTTAGTATCATGGGTAAATGATGGTACCCTCTGGTAATTTAACATAGCTATTGAAAATGGCAATTTATAGTGGATATTCCCATTAAAAATGGTGATTTTCTATAGCTATGTTAGTTTACCAGAGGGTAAGCCCAAAAGGATCGAATTTCTGGATGCGACGCGACTCATCATTGACAATGATACCTCTTCCATCTTCTTACTGGTGCGTTTTACGTAGGGAATGGATGGGAATGGATGGGTTGCTGGGGGTTGCTGGGATGATTATTGATAGTTAGCCAGTGGATCATTCCCAAAAATTCCCTGCGTTTAGCACCAGTAAGTCTTATGTACTTGGATTATACTCACCACTTTATGGTTCCCATCTAACTGTACTTGCAAACGCAAATTCTTCTGGGTAAATCGCAACGAAGTCACTGGCCCATGTCACTAGAAATGATGTTTCGGGCCTCGGGCAACTATCCCAACATGACCTTCTTTCATGCTGGTGAATTCCAGTTCAGCCAGAACCATGTTTGATTCTTTTGTAGATTTTGGTTTGGGAAACATACATGATTTAGGATCCTTCAGCAAATTGAAATCATTTCCTGTTTGGGTAACAGGTCGTTTCCATCGAAAAAACGAACGTTTTGAATTGACCAAAGATGGTTCGAGCCCAATTAGAATGGATCTTGGGGCACCAGCAGTGCGCTCGCTGACACCTTGGCTCAGCTCGGCAACTTGTGCTCTTTGAGCCGAGAATCAAACTACCCTCTGGTAATTTAACATAGCGAACTGGAAAATCCACCATTTTTAATGGGAAAATCCACTATTTCTATGGCCATTTTCAATAGCTATGTTAAATTACCAGAGGGTAACCTCAACAACCTTGAATTGAACAGAAGTCCCATAAACCGTCATGCAGAAGACATGCCAAGACCATGTGTGACTCTTGGACCACAAATATGTTGATGGTCGCCCACGAGATTTGAAGGTGGCAACCGCCAACCGGGGACAGCCACTGAATGCCACAACAGGGATGGGTCAAAAGCTGTGAAATTGCCATACCGGGGGAATAAACATTCACTAAACCTCCAAATTTAGGGTGCCTAGGGTGCCAGGTCTTGACTCAGAACCATTTAGCTGTGGGCCCCTCTCGCAGCCATGTTGTGTGACCCTCGCGTGCGTTTCGAGCACATCGGCGGGCACATGTCTGTCTGGTGCGACGATGGCCCAGTGGTCGAAGAATCCCGTGAGCTGTGGTCCAAGTTCGAAGACCAGCCGAAGGCCGAAAGTGAAGCAGTGCCCAGCATTTCTATGGGATTTAACCACTACAAGATAGGGGTTTAACAAGTAAAATCGGGATTGAATAGAATATCGTTGGTGATCTACTGGGATAGAACAAACTAGCTGTGTTAAATTTGGGTGTGTCTGAAAATGTATACTCCAATTTTTTAGGGGCAATTTTTGACCCATGGGTTTTTTTTCATACCCAGAATGCCGGTTTGTTCAACGTCAGGTGGATGCCTCCTACCCCGGACTTCAAATTCCTCAACCAGAAGAGCACCAGATCCGGTCCTATCGTTTGAAAGTGATCAAGGCCACCAGACCCGAGCAGTATGCCCGGAAGAGCACGGTGAAGCATGCCGTGCCCCGGCGGTACTGGACGTTTTTTTGGGCATACCCCCTGGTAATGACTAACAGTTTGCGAACTGGAAAATGCCATAGAAATAGTGGATTTTCCCTTTAAACATGGTGATTTTTTTAATAGTTTTTTGTATGTTTACCAGAGGGTATCCCCGGGCGCACCGGAGATTGGGACGAACCCCACGGACTTGTCCCACTTCGAATCCGTCGGTTGTGATCCCTCAAGTTAGACCCGTTTCATCACTGAGAAAACTCCATCAGGTCAGCTTGAAGCTGGGTTGGGCCTATGAGGGAGCGAGTTTTCATCCTGGGAAGTGGGACCAGGAGAGCTGGAGCATATCCGGCATGGGCAGTGTCTGCTGCGACGAGGGCTATCAAAAACCTTGGTTCTATCCGAAGAATCGAGCCTTGGCCTGCATGAAATTAGGCCCTTTGATCTGCACCCCAACAGATGGACCTCATCTGACGATTCAACACAAGCTCTTTCCCCACGAAAACCGCTTATTTTTCCAACCTGAATAGTTGGGCCATGAATGGGGAGACTTTTTCCTTCTGGTAAACTAATATAGCTATTGAACATATTTGAAAATGGCCCAGTCGAAGTAGTTGATTTACCCATTTAAAATGGGTGGATTTTCCACAGTTTTTTTTTTTTGTAAACGTTTACCAGAGGGTACCTCAATGAAATTCCCATCATTCCAATGACGCGAGTCCCATCATCATTGGTGAGGTTCGGCCCTCCAATCGAAATTCGGGCTCCATGGAAACACGGTAAACTGTGTCAAAATGGTGCTTTTTTGGTCCCCAAGCCAACATGATCCACCAGCAAATTGAAAGTAAATGGCAGGAACTCAACAAAACCAAATTCGTATTGATCTCGAACCATAAGCCAAGTTGGAATGATTGGAAGCCGGCCTCTATATTTGGGACAATTTCCACTAGTCTGACTAGGCTCGTTCTCATGGTTATTACATGTTATTACTTGGAGGATCATCCCACTTAGTAAGTGGTCAACAACCCTGGTTAGATGGTTAGTATGTTGCCCAAGTTTATTGTCCCTTTTTTAGGTGGATGAAATAATGGATTATGAGTATGGTCACTAACCATGTACGATTTGCGGGATGACCCTCCAAGTGCTACCTGCGGTAGCGATTCTTGGGGTGCTGCAGCGCCAGAGGAAAGTACCCCATTGGCTTCAGCGTTGAGTCCTCGATTGAGACGGCTGTGTGCCCTCGCAACGACGGCTCCATCGACATCTATTTCCGCGTGGATGGCTTTGACATCGAATCTCCTCTGCTGCAGGCACGGTGGTTGACGAACGTGTGACGTAATACTGGTCGGTTCGTCCGTGCGTATAAAAGTTTATAATTATTATGAGCTGACGCTCATCGTCGGCTCCGCCGGATTACTCGACCATCCATTTCATCGCAGTGTGGGCTTGAAAGCTATTGAATGCGGATCTGCTTCAGAAATATATCCTGATTGGATATTCCTGAAAATACCGGGGCTTGCGGTCGGAGGCTAGCTAAAACTTGTGCCCGTGCCTATATCTATAATATATATATACACATATTTATACTTATCCATCATAAATTGAACAGCTGGCCTAGTCACACTCCAACTTACTTATTGCGAAGCGCATAGAAATCCCAAATGTTTGTTGGTTGCTGATTTCTGCTGCTTAGATCATGATAAATCCAATTTCTAGTTATTCATCCCTTCCCCTGTTCATATTAAACGCCCCCAAAAACCATGGCTTAGTAAGGGATGAAACCACATATTTGCGACCATGCACTGAGTTGTTTAAGATGAACGTGGAGAATCATCCCACGAACTGTGGTGAACCATGGCGCCATGGCTGCCATTGTGGGAATTCTACCACGAAATAAGGAGACTTACTCACCAGGGTTACATTCAGCAGTTACTCAGTGGGAGGATCCTCCAAATAGTGTAGATATTGGAACTCAATCAGATCATGAAAGTGTTCATTAGATATGGGCTTTGTAAACAAAAATCATCAACCGTTAAACAGGAATATGGAACAACAATTATGAACTCCTTATTTCGCAAGTCTCAAGGCTAGCAGATGGAGCTCCTGGTGGCGTCCTACACCGGTCTTTCGCATTCCCGCGGAGCAGGCCCATCAAGGACTGCCGATGCCTGCGGTGGCCGGAACCGTGGATGAAACGTTTTTTTCCATGGATCTTTTGGTTGTTTTTTTTGGTCAATATAATATATAGGTTACATAGACATGATGACATGTTTATGGTGCCGGGCATCTGAGGAGGCCCCCGCTGTTGTCAGTTTTTGTCATTACACTAAAAACAACATCATAGACGAGGGGGTGGGGGGGGTGGGGTGGGATAATAGCGTCATTGCTGTACGTTCTCATGCACTTGCACACATACGTCATGCTACGCTGCTGTACGTTCTCATGCACTTGCACACATACGTCATGCTACGCCGCTGTACGTTCTCATGCACTTGCACACATACGTCATGCTATGCGGCTGTACGTTCTCATGCACTTGCAGACATACGTCATGCTACGCCGCTGTACGTTCTCATGCACTTGCAGACATACGTCATGCTACGCCGCTGTACGTTCTCATGCACTTGCACACATACGTCATGCTACGCTGCTGTACGTTGATATAAACTTGCACACATACGTCATGCTACGCCGCTGTAGTCTCATGCACTTGCACACATACGTCATGCTACGCCGCTGTACGTTCTCATGCACTAGCACACATACGTCATGCTACGCGGCTGTACGTTCTCATGCACTTGCACACATACGTCATGCTACGCTGCTGTACGTTCTCATGCACTTGCACACATACGTCATGCTACGCCGCTGTACGTTCTCATGCACTTGCACACATACGTCTTGCTACGCTGCTGTACGTTCTCATGCACTTGCACACATACGTCATGCTACGCCGCTGTACGTTCTCATGCACTTGCACACATACGTCATGCTACGCGGCTGTACGTTCTCATGCATTTGCACACATACGTCATGCTACGCTGCCGTACGTTCTCATGCACTTGCACACATACGTCATGCTACGCTGCTGTACGTTCTCATGCACTTGCACACATACGTCATGCTACGCTGCTGTATGTTCTCATGCACTTGCACACATACGTCATGCTACGCGGCTGTACGTTCTCATGCACTTGCACACACACGTCATGCTACGCTGCCGTACGTTCTCATGCACTTGCACACATACGTCATGCTACGCTGCCGTACGTTCTCATGCACTTGCGCACATACGTCATGCTACGCTGCTGTACGTTCTCATGCACTTGCACACATACGTCATGCTACGCGGCTGTATGTTCTCATGCACTTGCACACATACGTCATGCTACGCCGCTGTACGTTCTCATGCACTTGCACACATACGTCATGCTACGCGGCTGTACGTTCTCATGCACTTGCACACATACGTCATGCTACGCCGCTGTACGTTCTCATGCACTAGCACACATACGTCATGCTACGCCGCTGTACGTTCTCATGCACTTGCACACATACGTCATGCTACGCTGCTGTATGTTCTCATGCACTTGCACACATACGTCATGCTACGCCGCTGTACGTTCTCATGCACTTGCGCACATACGTCATGCTACGCGGCTGTACGTTCTCATGCACTTGCACACATACGTCATGCTACGCTGCTGTATGTTCTCATGCACTTGCACACATACGTCATGCTACGCTGCTGTACGTTCTCATGCACTTGCACACATACGTCATGCTACGCGGCTGTACGTTCTCATGCACTTGCACACATACGTCATGCTACGTGGCTGTACGTTCTCATGCACTTGCACACATACGTCATGCTACGCTGCTGTACGTTCTCATGCACTTGCACACATACGTCATGCTACGCTGCTGTACGTTCTCATGCACTTGCACACATACGTCATGCTACGCTGCTGTACGTTCTCATGCACTTGCACACATACGTCATGCTACGCCGCTGTACGTTCTCATGCACTTGCACACATACGTCATGCTACGCTGCTGTACGTTCTCATGCACTTGCACACATACGTCATGCTACGCTGCTGTACGTTCTCATGCACTTGCACACATACGTCATGCTACGCTGCTGTACGTTCTCATGCACTTGCACACATACGTCATGCTACGCTGCTGTACGTTCTCATGCACTTGCACACATACGTCATGCTATACGTCATGCTACGCTACGCTGCTGTACGTTCTTGCACACATACGCACTTGCACACATACGTCATGCTACGCTGCTGTACATGCACTTGCACACATACGTCATTACGTCATACGTTCTCATGCACTTGCACACATACGTCATGCTACGCTGTTCTCATGCACTTGTACGTCATGCTACGCTGCTGTACGTTCTCATGCACTTGCATACGTCATGCTACGCTGCTGTACGTTCTCATGCTGCACTTGCACATACGTGCATGCTACGCTGCCGTACGTTCTCATGCACTTGCACACATACGTCATGCTACGCTGCTGTACGTTCTCATGCACTTGCACACATACGTCATGCTACGCCGCTGTACGTTCTCATGCACTTGCACACATACGCTTGAAAAATGGGCTTGACAAAGTGCCATCTCCAGAATGATCAACATGCAGATGATGATGGTGATGATGATGATGATGAAATAGCTCCTGATGCTAAAGTTTCGTTTTTCAGCGTTTTGTGGTCCCCCTGTAAAATGTTTGAAAAGTGACAACAGCGGGGGCCGCCTCAGATGCCCGGCACCATGTTTATGCTACTATTATTATCATTCTTTGTATCATTTTTATTGTTCTCGTTATAATTATTAGTATGGTGATTGACGATTACAATATTTGTTTATGGTTAGCCCCTGCCCCAGAATCTACATTTACACAATGAAAGGGGGGCAGCTGGTATGTAATAGCATACCGTGCATTCCTATTCTAGTATTAAACATTATATATATATGTATATATGTATATATGTATATATGTATATATATATATATGCAACACTTTTTTCAAAGGATGGATGTTTACTTGGAGAGTTTCTTCCAAGGAGGTATCAACTGCGGACCCGGCTGGCGAGTTCAGCTCGAGACGGAGATCTCCCCGGAGTTCCGACGCGAAGTTCTGGGTGAGGAGACGCCAGCGCTACCCAGGGTGCCGCGTGCGCCCAGTGCGTCAGTGCCAAGTGTGGAGGAACCAGAGGAGACATTGATGTGGGTTTTGTGAAGGTCTAACCAACAAAAATGGCAGAAACGGATTCATTTCTTTTGACCACAAACGAAGCTAGATGGGGGAGAGAATGCCCTAATCAGCCTCAAATTGAGAAGTTTTGATTTTTAAATGTGTATATTGGGTATTAAAGACATGTATTTAACATATCAATACCCTTTTACAATACAATATATATATATATATTATTATTATTTTTATTATATTTTACTGTATTATACTATATTATATTATTTTGTATTGTATTGTATTGTATTGTAACACATTTTATTTTATTATATTATAGTATATTATATTATTATATTGTATTATATTATATTGTATTATATTATATTAGATAATATGATATGATATGATGTCATATTATATTATATTATAGTATAGTATATTATATTATATCATATTTTAATATATTATATTATGTTATATTATATTATATTTATATTATATTATATATTTTAATATATTATATTATATTATGATATGATATTATATTATATTATATTACAATATTTTGTATTAAATTATATTATATTATGTTATGTCATACAGGGTCTGCTATTTTGTATGTTTTGGAGAAAAAGCAAAGTCAGTATTTTGTGTGCGTTTTCGACAAATTAGTAAAACACATGTTCTTTACAGATGCATGTTTACCCATATTCAATTGTGGAATTCAGTGATACAAAGAGTTGATTGCATGCGCTTTGCCACCTTTGTGCACCTTGCGCACCTTTGGGAATGGGGCCAATGTACGGTTGCTGCTATAGTATGGGGGGGGGCAGGGCGTAAACAAAAAACAAAGGAAACATTTGAACACATGGAATTACCTCCAAAAATATGTTACATGATTTTTCAACAAAATGAAAGCACCTCAAATTTTAAAATGTTTGTGCTTTCCGACAGGATCTGATCTCAACAAGTGACCAGAAATTACATATGTATGACTTGAGACTTGCGACTTGATTTCCAGAATTCTTGCTCACACAGAAACAGTACACACACAAAAAGTGGAAAGTTAGTATATAATACTTACAAAGGTTTGTTATCACGTGCAGAAGTAAGTAGCCCCAGAAAGAAAACAAACAACAGGATCTTACCCCAAAAAAAAGGTGAAATTCACATTCGGATTTGCAATTGCAAAAACTTGAGACCTGGTTTCCAGGACTCCGTTCACAAAGTGTAATCTTAATACGTTTGAATACAGTATACGTGCAAATGTTTTTTCGTGCAGAAGTAAGTAACCCTAGAGAGAGACAAAAAACAAATAGCAGGATCTTATCCAAATAATATGTGACATGTGACATTCACATTCAGATTTGCAAATGCAAAATCTTGACACCTGGTTTCCATGACTCAGTTCACAAAGTGTAATCTTAATACATTCAATATCATATACTGACAAGTTTGGTTTGACATGCCAATTAATGTAATCTTATCAAACAAATTGCACATGCATAACTTGAGACCTGCTTCAAGCAAGGACTCAGTTCCCACAAGGATAGTACATGTAGTTACAATGTAGTTAATGTAAAGATGAAATCACACATGTTTGTTTTGACATGCAACGGACCGTAGCCCTTGGAAACTTTCCGACTGGATCTTAGCAAAAAATGTAAGTCAAAATTGCAAGTGCGTACAGTTTGAACTTGAGACCTGGTTTCCAGGGCTCAGTTCGTACTGTGTATCAGTATATCCCCTTGTGTCCTGTTTGTCAGAAGGTGAGCTGAACACACGTTGGAAGGGTTTTGCATCTCACGTAGTGTAACAGTAACACATTTGTAGCAATCATATTTTGCATTCACCAAATGCCACCAATACTTGTTTGATATGTAAATGAATGTAACCCCTGAAAACTTTCCGACAGGATCTCATCAGAAAACATGTGAATCTCACAAATGCAAGTGAATAACATTAGACCTGGTTTCCAGGACTATAAAATATAATATTATACCCAACTAACGTATTTATATAGTATCATTTTATATCCCTACCTGCTTGTGGGTCCTGTTTGGCAGAAGCTGAGCTGAACACGCGTCGGGAACTGCTGGCAAGAGTTGGAAGGGTTTTACAGTAATGTAACAGTACATGTAGTTTTCATATGTTACATCCAAATGTCGCCAATACTTGTTTGATATGCAAATACGTGTAACCCCTGAAAACTTTCCCATAGGATCTCATCAAAAAACATGTGAAATCTCAGAAATGCAAATGCATAACTATAGTTGTGGCTTCCAGGACTATACAATATCATATTATAGCAGCCAACTAACGTATCTATGCAAGATTATATTACGTATCCCTACCCCCTTACGTATCTATGTAAGATTATATTACGTATCCCTACCCCCTTACGTATGTATGTAAGATTATATTACGCAACCCTACCCCCTTGTGACAATGTAATGTATGTAATATATGTAATGTATGTAGTGTATGTAATGTATGTAATGTATGTAATGTATGTAATGTATGTAAGGTATGTAATGTATGTAATTGTGTGTCCTGTTTGTCAGAAGGTGAGCTGAAAACACGTCGTCGGGCACTGCTGGGAACTGTTGGAAGGGTTTTGCATCTCACGTAGTGTAACAGTAACACACGTGTAGCAATTGTATTTTACATTCACCAAATGCCACCAATACTTGTTGATATGCAAATGAATGTGACCCCTGAAAACTTTCCGACAGGATCTCATCAAAAAACATGTGAAGTCTCACAAATGCAAGTGCATAACTGCAGACCTGGTTTCCAGGGCTTGTAGCTTACAAAATGTAACAGTTCATTGTCAGTCGCCAATATTTATTCTGACGTGCAAATGCAATGACCATAAATCTTAACCAAAAACATCAATCAGTGTGATATAGTATATCCCCTTGTGTCCTGTTTGTCAGAAGGTGAGCTGAACACGCGTCGTCGGGCACTGCTGGGAACTGTTGGAAGGGTTTTGCAGCTCACAAAATGTAACAGTACAAGTAGCTAACATATTTTTTCATCAATATTTTTGTTTTGACGTGCAAATGTAATGAACATAACCCTTGAAAACTTTTCGATTGGATCTTAACCAAAAATCATGAATCATAATTGCAAATACAGCTTGAACTTGAGACCTGGTTTCCAGGGCTCAGTTCATACAGTGCAATATAGTAGATGTAGTTATCAGGTTTTTTGGTCAATCAGAACTGCACATGCATACCTTGAGATCTTCATTCCGACAATATGGAGCTCACCCCAAAAAAACTGTCTACATGATTTTCCAATTCTTGTTTCTGAGCCTAACCTCTGAAAACGGTCTAAGGATCTTTTGGAAGAAATGTATGGAAGGAACATGCATATCCAGCACTGAGTTCATACGCAAATGATCACAAATGGTTGGTTTGACATGCAAATGTAGGCCGCCCTTGAAAACTGTTCGTCAGGATCTTGTTTTTTTTTGAGAACGTACTTCAATCAAAATTCGGCATGCACAACTTGGGACCAACTATCTTACATCAAAAACATGACTTTTGTAAATGAGATGAAGCAAACATGTTCAAGAGATATCAAACATTAAGTTAGACTAGAACCATCTAGAATCGCCTCTTCAAAGTCCAAGCCAAAAGACATCAGGGTATACATTGTTACATGATCATCCGTTCTCAGCATCTAAGCTATTCTTTAGGCAAAACAAGCAGATGCGAAATGAAGTGTATTCAAATAAACACATATTGAATATATATATACACATACATATATACATGGTATACTTCCATACGCATTTGAAGATAAATGAGGCATGTAGGATTCTGAATATGTTTTTGGGTGAGCCGAACATGTGTCAGTATATTTATTACCTTACTATCTCAGGTTATTTAAGGAGTTTAGGTGCTTCACCGTTGAACCTGGTTTCCAGGGTCACTGTGGAGGACCAAAATTAGATTGGGGCTGGTGCTTCACAGTTGAACCTGGTTTCCAGGGTCACTGTGGAGGACCAAAATTAGACAGGGCCTGCTATTTTGGATGTTTTGTAGAAAAATCAAAGTCAGTGTTTTATGTCTGTGTTTACAACAAAATTAACAAAACACATATTCTTTACAGATGCTTTGCCCAGATTCAATTGTGGAATTCAGAGATACAAAGAGTTGATTGCATACGCTTTGTTTAGCTAGGTTCAAGATAGGTGGTAGAGGCCTTAAGTAAGATCCAAACATGTCTGGTACGTACGGCTGGTAGGTTTGGTTTTCTTGGTACGGTACGGTTGGTACATGTGGTACGGTACGGTTGGTACGGTTGGTACGCTTAGTAAGGTACATCCAAAACGCCCCCCCCTTGACCCCCCCCTTAATCTGGTACGGTACGGTGGTACGGTTCACTGGTACGGTTGGTACGGTCGGTACGGTTGGTAAGCGTACCAAACGCACCTTACTAAGCGTACCAAGCGTACCTACCCAAAGCGTACCAAGAGTACCAAGCACACCAAGCGTACCGTACCAAGCGCACCAAGCCTACCAAGCGTAGCGTACCTATCTTATAGCTGGATATCAAGCACCTATCTTGAACTTAGATAACCCTTTGTCACCTTTGTGCACCTTGCACACCTTCGGGAATGGGGTCAATGTAGGTTGCTGCTATAGGGGTGTGGGCAGGGCGCAAACAAAAAACAAAGGAAACCTTCAAAACATGAATTAACTCCAAGAATATGTTACATGATTTTCAACAAAAAACATCAAATTTTCAAATGTGCGTGCTTTCCGACAGGATCTGATCTCAATAAGTGACCACAAATTACATATGCATGACTTGAGACTTGCAAATTGATTTCCAGAACTCTTGCTCACACAGACATACAAAAAAATGAAAAGTTAAATGCTTGCAAACATTTGTTTTCATGTGCAGAAGTAAGAAACCCCAGAAAGAAAACAAACAACATGATGTTATCCAGAAAAATGTGAAATTCACATTAACATTAGGCTTTGCACTTGCAAAAACTTGAGATTTGG